CTTTCCTTCATTTCTTTTCTTTTCTCTCCTCCTTCTTTCCTCTTACTTTCTTGATCACTCTCCATCTTTCCCCATCCTCTTTCTCTCCCATTCTCTCACCCTCCTCTCCCCCAACTACCACCACATCATCCCCCACCTCCCACTTCATCTTTTTCTCTCCCCCACCTATTTCTTTCTCTTCTCCTTCACTTTTTCATTCCCATTCCCCCCCTACTTCGAAATTTTTCTGTTTTTTTCTTCTTTCTATCTCTCTCTCGATTTATCTTTTCTCTTTTCCAAAAATTCGAAATATTTTTTTTCTCACCTTCTTTTCTCATTTTCTGATTTATTTTATTTATTTTTCTATTTAGTCTGAAAATTCAATTTTCTTTATGGCAACCCTAAATCTGATTAGGTGTTCGTCTTTACTACTTTCGGCACACGTTTTGACCCCGTGGGGGTAACGAAGTGCTGCCGAAATTTTCTATTTTTTATTTCACTTAGTCTTCTCGGCACACTTCGACCCCATGGGGATAACGAAATGCTGCCAAAATTTTTGACAAATTAGATACTTCATTCCTCCTCACCTCCTCATCCACTTTTTACTTATTTATTTATTTATTTATTTATCTCTTTATCTATTATTTATTTATTTATTTTCTGATTTTTTTTTTTTTATTTGCGACATCTCGACACCTAGTGTGCTCACCTTGGTCTCTCCCTTCCCTTGACACATTTTTGACCCCGTGGGGTGTAGGGAAATGCTGCCGAAAAAATTCAAAAAATAAATATTGTTTTCCCTTCACATCTTTTTACTTATTTTTTTACTTATTTTTATTATTTATTTATTTCCTTATTTATTTTTATTTTCTCTCGACCACTTAAACCTCGGTTAGGGTTTTCTTAGGGTTTTCTTAGGGTTTTTGTCGGGTTTAGGGTTTTTAAAAACCCCCCTACTTCCCCGTCCTCTTCGGGCACCCTGGACCCGAACCACCCCTCCCCCTTCGACGGCGCCCGTGCTAGCCTTTGCTAGCGTTGTTCACCGCTTTCTACTGCGGACTTCCCGCTGCGCCCTCCGCTCACGCGGACCTCTTCTGGCCCCCTCCAGTCCGGTCCGTCATCTCCCCATGGCCGACGGTGTGTCACACGCCGCCGACACGACGATGACCACGGCAACGGGCTCCACACCCGTGCCGGCGGACCAGGGCCATCAGCCCCAGGGGGATCTGCACACCCTCCTCACCTCCCTCCTTGCGCCCATCCAGGCGCAACTCGCGACCCTCGGGCCCTTACAGGCGCAGGTGGCGACCCTTGCCGCCGGCGTGCAGCAACTCCAGGATGCTGCGTGTCCTCCATCTCCTGGCTCCCAATCCGGGTCCCCCGTCCTCCAACAGGGTGGCCACGGCGGAGCTTCCTCCTCCGCCGCCCCCGACCCGGCCATCTTGGTGACTGTCCACGCCCCTAGCACGACGGCCGCCACGAGCCAGACCCTCCCTCAGTCCACGGGCGCACCCGCCCAGATTCCGGTCATGACGGCCACGGGACCACAACCCGCTACCATGGTCTCAGTTTTTTCGGGTGCCCCACTTCTCCCCCCTCTTCGCACGACCGCAGCGCCATCTGGCTCTACCCCTTGTGGGATGCCTCGCGCCGCTCGTGGGTCTCCTCCTGCCACACCTCGCTCGACCTACGTTCGAGGTCTCGAGGACGCGAGCGCCCAGCTCCGGGCCGACCTCGCCCTCTCACGCCTTCAGCCACCCCCACCCTCACAAGTGGTCGCGCCTTCCGGCGCACCCCCTTCGTCCTCTATTATTCCTTCCATGCAGGCCCGCTTCCCTCGCCCTGCACCCTACCCATCTCCATCCTACCTCCTCCCCATCCCCTCGGTTGCTGCGACCTCTTCTACCGCAGCTCCCGCGCAGCCTGCTGCTGTTTCCCCCGCCGCTCCACCATGCGGCCCGGGCGTATAGTCAGTTGCGCCTCCTCCTCCAGGACCTGCGCCGACTTATTCCGCCGTAGCGCAGTCCCCTGCTCCCCGTTCCCCTCGCCGCCAAAACGGTGGTGCACCACTCATCCGTTTGTCGGACATTCCCTTGTATGACGGTACAGGCATACGCGTGTCTAGATGGCTGCAGTCTGCTACCCGCACGCTCCAGCTCATGGGCGCCACACCCGACACGTGGGTGGGTCACCTCTCCACGCGCCTGCGTGGTGCTCCTTTCGACGCCTGGGAGGATTTCTATGCTTACTCCCTGCGTGAGGGTCGGACTCCGACCTTCATGGATTTCCAGGCGTTCCTCAAGGATCGCTTCGGAACCCGATATGACTTGACTGACGCCTTTGAGCGTGTCGTCACTACACGCTGGTCCGGCTCTGGTGGCGCTGCCGGCCTGGATCGCCACATCCAGGTCTTTCAGGACGCCCGCCTCGTTTGTGACGTGGCGTTCCTTCCCGAGGCTGCCCTTATCGATCGTTTCTTGGCCAGCCTCCTGCTCGAGTACCGCTCCGAGCTATGGCGGTACGAGTTCACATCGGCCCCGCAGGCTTACGAGGCCGCCAGGAACCATGAGCGGATGCGAGCTCGTCTTCACCCCGCCTCCTCCTCCCAGCCTCAGCGCACAGGTTACGCCTCCTCCTCCTCTCACGACACTTCCCAGCGCCGTTCCCCTTTCCGCGGTCGCCCCCGCCGTTCCGCGCAGCAGGGCTGCCACTTCTCGCGCCGCTTCAGCGCGCTCGAGTATGGTGAGCAGGACGCTGGTGCCCCGCTGTCGCGAGATGGTGATCATAGCGATGACCTCGACCTCGGCGATGCCGTCCAGCACCACCTGGAGGACCCTACTCTCCCTATGGCTGAGCGCCTCCAACTTATCCTCTCCACCCTTTCCCGGGCACGCAGCCGCCCTGGTCACGCTGGCGCGTCGCCCCCCGAGGTCCCTCAGCAGGACCTCCCTCAGGGCTTTGTTCCTCCTCGCGGTGTCCTTTCCGCTGAGGAGCGCGCGGCTATTATGGGCCGACGTGGGTGTTTGCGATGTCGTCAGGACGGTCATACCTCCTCGCGGTGCCCTTACACTGCCGCCCTTGACCGCCACTATGCCGACCTTTCCCGCCAGCGTCGTGCTTCGTCCCCCCCCGGCGCCTCGCATCCCCGCGGCGCCTCCTAGCCACGATGCAGTGTACACCTGCGCCCTCCTCAGTAGTCGGCTTCCTGACATCTCCGTCGCGGTTCGCCCCTCTCGCTACAGGAGTTGAGGTCTCGAAGGACTCGACAGAGTGTACTCAGTCCTATGTCGCAGTACCATCTGCGCCCCCGCAGACCACCGTCTCCCCTCCTTCCCCGTCGCGACTACCGACGCGTCGAGCCATTCGCTCAGCCTGTTGCAGCGAGCAGCTCGCTACTCGCGAGGACGTTGTGTCCTCACTTCTGGACTTGAGCATGCTCCAGGCTCGTCAGGAGCGACTCACCCTCCATGTCGCTGCACTGCGTCGCCTTCTTGCCATCCTCTCTGACCTTGATCGCACCCTCCTGATCATCCCAGTACGACTCGGGACCTCCACGAGGGTGTACTCAGCGCTGTGGGATTCCGGTTCTCAGGGCGACTTCATTCACCCATGCGTGGTGAAAGAAGCCCGCTTACCCACGACAGGGTCTCTGACTCATCTCCGTCACCCTAGGGGATAACAAGACCCAACGCTTCTTCGATCAGACGGTCACCGACCTCCCCTTCTTCCTCACTCTCGAGCCGACTGATCGTTCCCCGGCGTCGCGTCGCCATCGTTCCTCTGCACATTTCGATGTGATGGAGACGGGGTACGACTTCATTCTCGGCACTCCGTGGTCTCGTCGGTTCCGCAGCACCGAGGCCGATTGGGCGACCAACACTCTCGTTCTCAAAACGAAGTGTGGACAGACGTATCACGTACCTTTCATAGGTACCACTGCGACACCACGCCCCGATCCTCCTCCCCCGGAGCCTTCCGTGCCCATACCATCTCCTTCCATCACTGTCACCTCGCCTCGGCAGTTCGCCCACTTCATCCGACAGGATGACGTCACCTTCTTTATGGTGGACGTGACGGATCTCTTACACTATGATCCACCCTGTCCCGACGTCGAGCTCCTCCCTCTGGAGTCAGATCCTCCTTCTATCTCCATGGCTCCCATCTCTACTTCCGTCCCTCCACCGTCCGTCGAGTCCACCCCGCCGTCGCGCGCTGACGCTGACGTTGAGGAACTCGCACGATATACGGCTGACCTGGAGCCCGCAATTCGTGACCTCATCCGAGAGTACCACGACGTTTTCCCATCGTCGTTCTCGTACGCCGGCATCCCACCGATGCGTGACGTCGAGCACTCCATTCAGCTTGTGCCTGACTATCGTGTTCACCACCA